GTTATCAGACACTAAAGAGTGGAAAATACCGAACCTTCAAATGATATTTTTCCAGATAACTTTATGGTGTTCGCTTCAGTGATTTTTGCTAGAGGTTCATTTTCAACCCACTTGGTGAAGTAGTCAATGGCAACAATGGCCAAAGTAGCGCTTCCTCTTCCTTTTGGAAGTGGGCCAATAAAGTCTACCTCCCACTTGGCGAACGGCCACAGGCTAGTGACCACAGAGAGGCTTTGAGAAGGCTACCTTTGAATGTTTGAAAAGTGTTGGCACTTTTCACACTTTTGAACAAACTGGCAAGAGCCCTTTTTACGATCGGCCAGAAATAGCCTTGTCGAAATACTTTGTGTGCCAGAGCTGTTTCTCCGGAATGGCTACCGCAGACTCCCTCATGGATCTCCCTGAGTATATACCTGGCTTATGTCCCTCCTACGCATCGGAGAACTGGCGAGGCAAAATCCCTTTTTTAGAGCTCATCATCCTGGAGAACAAAGTGAGCAGCCCTTCTCCTCAATTTCTTCGCCTCGCTTTTTGAGGCTAGCAGTGATTGATCTTTGAGGTAGGCTACCATGGGTTGCATCCAAAGTGGGATGGCTTCAATCCATAGTACCTCTTCACCCCTAGAGATGGAGGGCTTCGGTAGGCGCTCAATTGAGACAATTTTTAGCAGCTCCAAATCCCTGCTGCTGGCCAACTTGGACAGGGCATCAGCATGTGTATTTTTAAGGTGTGGGACTTGGACCAGTTCAAATTTCTTGAAGTGAGGGACTAGGTTCATAACCAATTTTGGATATACAGCCATGCTCTGCAAACTTTCCATTGACCAAGCTGCGAGTCGCTACTTGCTATGAGCATTTTCACTTGCATTTCTTTCGCTAGTCTAAGACCCACTAGGAGGGCCTCATATTTCGCAGAGTTGTTCGAGGCTTTGAAGGCAAAATTGACTACACAGTTTAGCTTATGGCCCTCTGGGCTTTCTAAAACTACTCCTGCTCCGGAGTAAGTCTCACCTGATGACCCATCCACAAATAGGTTCCATGTTGGGGGCTCGACAGGTTCTATTATCACCTCCATTTCTAGGCTTTTGGCAAACTCAACCACAAAATCTGCGAGGGCTTAGCCCTTGATAGTGTTTCGGGGTCGGAACAGTAGGTCAAACTCACTGAACTCGATTGCCCATTTTAGCAAACGGTCCGAAGTGTTTGTTCTCTGCAACACTTGCTTTAGGGAGAAGTTGGTGAGAACTTCAATTGAATGGGCCTGAAAGTATGGTCTCAACTTCCTTGATGCTGTAACGAGGGAGAGTGTAAGCTTTTCCATATCTGGGTAACGCATCTCTGGTGGGAGTAGTACCTTGCTAATATAGTACGCCGACAATTGATGCGTATTTTCTTCTCTAACAAGGACTACGTTGACAGCTTCGTTTGAGACTGCTAAGTATAGCAGCAGTGGTTCTCGTGGTTCAGGTTTGGATAGCAAGGGTGCCTCTCCTAAGTGCTTCTTCAGCACTTGGAAGGCTTCATCGCACTCATCCATCCATTGGAACTTCTTTCCTTGCTTCAAGATTTTGAAGAAGATAGGCTCTTGTCAGTAGCCCTGGAGATGAAGCGGCTGAGTGCGGCTTTTCGACCGTTGAGGCTTTGGACCTTTTTTGGTTCACAATGTACCCTAGAAATTGACCCTTATCTTTTTCGGATTTGTCTCAATTCCTTTTTGGTTCACAATGTACCCTAGAAATTGACCCAAAGCTACCCCGAAGGTGCACTTCAGAGGGTTCAACTTTATTTTATACTTTCTAAAAGTCTGAAAGGTCTGGTCGAGGTGACTTACGTGTTCTTTCGCCTGGAGATTTTTAACTAGCATGTTGTCCACATAGACCTCTATAGTTTTGCCAATGAGCTCGGCAAACATCATATTGACCAGCCTTTGGTATGTAGCTTCTGCATTTTTCAATCCGAAGGGCATCACCTTATAGCAATACAATCCTCTGTCTGTGATGAACGATGTGGATTTCTCATCAGGTCGAAACATGGGTATCTTGTTGTACCCAGAGTATGCATTCATGAAGCTCAAGAGTTCATTTCCAGAAGTGGAGTCCACCGGTTGGTCTATCCTTAGGAGAGGGAAGCTGTCCTTGGGACATGCCTTGTTCAAATTCATAAAGTCTACACATACCCTTCATTTTCCGCTAGGTTTCTTTACGAGGATTGGGTTGGATATCCATTTCGAATAGATAGCTTCTATGATGAAGTTGTTGCGGCTGAGTTTGTCGACTTCTTTTTTGAGCGCCTCATATCGCTCTGAATTGAGGGCTTGTTTTTTCTACCAATGTAGGTATAGGAGGAGTTGATGTTAAGGTGGTAGCTACTGATCCTTGGGTCTATTCCCACCATGTCTTCGTGCTTCCAGGCAAAGACATCTAGGTTCTTCTTCAGAAAGTTCATCATTTCTTCTTTTACTTCGGGGGGTAGTGCTTTCCCAATCCGCAAGACCTGAGTGGGGTCTTCAGGGTTGATGGGAAAAGTTTTTAGTTCTTCCATTAGAGTCACATTTGGTTCGGACTCAATAATTCGAGGGTCCAACTCATCAAGAGGGTACACTTCTTCAAGGGTCTCTACCATGTCGATGTCTTCCTCCTGTTCGAAGGTGTGCCCTTGTTCAGGGGCGTCCATCATCTCTATGTCCATGTCGGCTTTGTTGCCAGCCTCTGTTATAATGACATTAACAGTGCAAGGCTCGAATTTTCATAGAGAGTTGAGGTAACATACCCTTGAGCCCATTTGGTCGCCTTGAACTGTAGCAATCCCATGTTCAGTTGGAAATTTCATACATAAGTAATGGATGGATATAACTGCCCAAAGATCTTTCAAGGCAGATCGGCCAAATACACCTTGGTAAGCTGATCTATGATCCACCACCAAGAACTCCATGAAATGATAGGCCACTAAGGAGGCTGACCCCATCTCGACAGGTGCTGTCGCCAGTAGATCTAAATAGCGGGTCGGTCATGGGATCAACCCGTGTTTAATTTGTATTTTATAAAAGGTAGATCTGACCAGTATATTCATCGAGCTGCCATTGTCGACGAGCATGCTTTGAGTCCGTTTTGAGTCACTACGGCTCTTACCACTAACGCATCACAGTGGGGGTGGTGAACTCCTTGTGCATCTTCTAGAGAAAAAGTGATCGGGGCCATCCCGTTAGCCACTTGGGTCTGATTGACAATGTAAGTAATCATTGGTGGATCTTTTGCTTCCTTGGTATAGTTTCTCTAGGCGTTTCTAGTGTTGCCTCCGATATGAGGTCCTCCAATGATTGTATCAATTTTCCTGATAACTTGGCCTCCAGATGGGGCCTGATTCCTATGCCTGGGTTCTCCTCTGTCCCTAGATTCTCTTCTTTAGGGCGATTGGTCTCTTTATCACCTCTCTCCCCTATTCGGGGAGTTGGACTTGCGGGGGTATTCATCCCTTCTCAAGGAGCGTGGGTTATTCCGGTTTGAGGATCGATGATCATCTCTATATTCGTTGGTGTCGTGTCCATAAAGTTGGTGAAAGGTGCAGAACATTGCCCCTTCCAGGGCCTATTTGATCACTTCTTCTTCTTCTTTCGATTGTTTGTTCCCCAGATGGTCCTGCTTTGGCAGGAACATTTTCATATGCTAACACTGACACTGCATTTAGAGTGGCTGAAGCCAATGCCTGTCCGAATGTGGGGGCTACCGTGTGATCGGCCTGGGTCCATTGCTGGGTGACGAGGTGTGCGGCTGGTCCTAGACATATCTGCCTCTGAGGTGAAGGAAGTCCCTGAGCTACACAGTTTCGGTGGTCAATCATCTTCTCATTGACGATCTCCACTCTCATCATTTCAACTAGCTCGTTATAGGTGGTGGGATTCTTGTTGCGTACACCGTTCCAGAACAGAGTGTCCATCTTGAGGCCACCTTTCAAGGCGGCCTTCCTATCAGTGACTTGCTCGGAGTACCTGATTTCATTGTTGAATCTGGCAAGATAGCTTTTCAGCGTCTCGCCAGGAGCTTGTCTTATGTCTTGCAGGCGTTGCATTGGGGCCTCTCCTTCCCTTCGTAAAAGGTATTGATTCAGAAATGCTCCGGCAGCTTCTGATGCTCAGAGGTGGTAATCCTCTGTACCACACTTCAGCAGCTCCGGTGAGGGTTAGATAAAAGGCCCTACATTTTAGTGCCGGTGAGGCTCCTCTGAGGCTCATCTGCATCATATACTTAGTCAGGTGTTTCTATGGGTCTCCCTTTCCTTCATACTTTGGGATTTTAGGAGGCATGAAGTTTGCAGGCATCGGGAAGCTTCAGATTTCTCTGGAGAATGGGAGGTTGTCATCATCATCATCAATTTCGTAGGAGCGCCATGGCCCTTCAGAGCCTTCCCCCTCTGATGCATTTTGGGGAGGTGGAGGTGCCTCTTCTCGACTATCCCAATCCACTAGGTTTCTCCTTTCCCGCCTATTTCTAGGTAAGGGTGGGCAAAACCCAAGCCAACCCACGAAAATCGCCCGATCAGACCCAATCGACCAGTTTGGTTCGATTTTTGGTGTTTTTAGGTGAGTTTCGGGTATTGGGTCAGCCTACTTGGTCGAATAGTGGGTTGAACAAAAAACGGACCTAACCCACACCGACCCAACCCGCTAACATTAAGTGAAAAAAGGCATAATATAATTATGTAGAAGGAAAAGAACCCTAAAATTTTCCCTTCCATTTCTTTCTCCAAGTCTAGCGATTCCAACCACTCACTACAGCTTGAGCCAAGGTCCAAGAGCAAACAAGAAGCCTAATCTCTCTCCCATCATTTTCTCTTAAGTCTCAAATCGCCAATAGAGAAGTGAGGGAAGTAAGAACTTCTTCTTTCAGTCGCCACTCGCCGATCGTCTGACGTCCACAATCCAGTGGGTAGTGGTAGAATATGTATATTTCCATATTTTCTAATTTCTATTCGTATTTTCTTATTTTCTATTTTTTATAAATACAAAATCATCTGTCGACTTGGGATCTTCTCTTGCTTTCAGAGAACCTGAAGGAGACGGAGAGCTTTCTTGGCCCATTTCAGCTCTAAGGTTGTTGATACTCTGCTCCGATTCATCAATCAGGTTCCATCTCATCAATTTTATAGATTATGGACCCGGACATTGCCTGAAATCGGGTTTGCATTTGTTGAAGAAGGTTTTGCATAAAAACAGTCATGTCAGCGGTACTTTGTTTAGAATTCCAATTGTCGTGCCCATCCATTTCTTAATTGGAGATGATTCTTTGCTGTTAACAGTGTGTGTGAGAGAGAACGACTGATTCTGTGAATTTGATTTTGATGGTAAATCTATCTATACACTAATACACATTAGTTTGCAAGATTCGTTTCAAGAATTGACGCACAGATCTTCTTTTCCTATTTATATATGTTGCTTTAACTTTGTTAATTCTTCTGAGATGATAAAACGATTTGATAAGAGATACGCAAATACATCTTTAAGTGCCCTATACTATTGTGAGGAAAAAAAGGAAAACTGCACTGTCTGCACAAATCCACTGGACTACTTGGTTATCAATTCTGTTTAATAGAAAATGGAAAATTCACTTATTAGAAATGAACTCGATTCAGTACAGAAAAATAAATTCAAGCTGATTTAGATGTCGAGCATGTTATTTTCGAGTATTGTGCGGTTTAATATAATTATTTTATATACAAAACACGATCTTAAAATGTACAATTAATACTACTTTTGTATCAAGATAGGCTGAGACACGCACTAGATGACACTAAAACTTTCTAAACAGTAAGCAGTGTTCAATGTGACACGTAATTTTATAGCCGTTGGTTTAGAATGCTGATCAGAATTTCCCATTTATCTTATTATTCTTTATTATAAGTTGACCTTACCAAATTATACTTTCCTGGGGTAAACTAATTGCTTGCTTTCCTCAAATTAATGATAAGAAAGATTCTTTAATGATAAGAAATAATTATTCTTTAATTGCTTGACCTTGCCAAATTATTCTTTAATGATAAGAAATAATTGCTTACTTTCCTCTTTCTTGCAGTATTCTTTAGTCTCTATAATCGTGGATCTTTTGGAAAATGGACTCAGGCACACAAGCTCAATCAAATGACAGAGATTTTCAATCTGGTCTTCCTCTACGTGCACCATCAACATTGGGTAAACGAAAACCTAATAGATTAGCTTCTTTTGTTTGGGATCACTTCACTCTATTGGGCTCAAGGGATGATCCAGATGTTAGGTGTAAGTGTAATTATTGTGGAGTAGATTATGCTTGTGGTACTAAGAAGTGTGGTACTAGTACATTGAGTAATCATTTCACAAATCATTGTAAGAAGTATCCAGGTAGATTAGTGGATAAGAAGCAAAAAATCTTATCATGGAGGGAGCAATCTTATTGCTGTTGGTCGAAGCAAGGAAGAGTGTAGAGTTGCATGTGCTAAAATGATAGTTTTGGATGAATTACCTTTTAAGTTTGTTGAAGCTCGTGATTTTAGGCTCTTTTGTAGTGTAGCATGTCCTCAATTTCAGGCTCCATCTCATTAGACTCTTGTTAGAGATATTTATCAGTTGTATTTAGATGAAAAATTGAAATTGATAGATGTCTTTTCTTTTAACTGTTAAAGGGTTTCACTTACAACTGATACTTGGACTTCTATTCAGAATATTAATTACATGTCTCTTACAGCACACTGCATTGATCTTGATTGGATGCTTAATAAGCGTATTTTGAGTTTTTTTGTTGTTCCAAATCATGAGGGAGAAACAATTGAAAAAATGATTAAGTCTTGTTTGCATGATTGGGGGATACAGAAAATTTTTGCAATAACTGTTGATAATGCAAGTTCCAATGACACAACCATTTCTTATCTTAGGCGAAAGTTAGTTTCTTGGGGGTAGTGATGGATGTGTTCTAAATGGGAGGTATTTGCCCTTGAGATGTTGTGCGTACATCATCAATTTGATTGTTGTTGAAGGCTTGAGGGAAGCACATGACTCCATTGTGAATATTCACAATGCAATCAAATATGTGAAATCTTCTCCGTCTGGGTATGAAAGATTGATGGAGTGTGCAAAGAAAGAAAAGATTGAGTGCAAGTCTATTGTGTTTTTGGATGTTCCAACTTGGTGGAATTCTACCTATTTGATGTTGGAAACGATGTTCAAATTTGAAAAAGCTTTTGATAGGTTAGAAGAAGAGGATGCTTAGTATTTGCATTACTTTCGAGATGATGATAATGGTAGAAGGAGTGGTGGATCTCTGTCAAATTTAGATTGGGAAAGTGCATATGTTTTTGCTAAATTTCTTGAAAATTTATTCAATGTGACTTTGAAGTTTAGTGCTTCATTGCAAGCTAGTGCTTGTGCTTATCTTCATGAAATTTGTAATTTTGTAATCGAACCGGATGAATGGAAATTAAGGGGAAATTACTTGTGTGAAATGGTGACTAATATGAAGAAGAAGTTTGACAAGTAATGGGGTAAAACAGAAAATGTGAATCAATTGTTGCTTTTTGCTACTATTCTTGATCCAAAATACAAAATAGATTATGTTGAATATTGTTTGAATGATCTATATATGGATGGGGAAGTTGTTAGTAATATCATGAAGTCTTTGAAAGCCAATTTGATGGATATTTATGAGTGGTATGTGAGTCATGAAGGCATTCATGGAATTAGTCAAGCATCAACTGAAGAGTCTTCAAGTTCAATCAATGCTTATAAAGGATCTTTTTCTTCTATGAGTGATACTCGTCTTTCTAGATTTATGGAAAAATAAGCAATTAAGGTTAAAGTTGAGATAAAAAATGATGTTGAATGATACTTATTGGATGCTCGTGAAAGCATAGAGAATAAGGATTTTGAAGTTCTAGATTGGCGGAAGTTGAACGGAAATTAGTATGGCGTCTTGTCCAATTTGGCCAAAGATATGTTGGCAATTCAAGTTTCAACTGTTGCTTCAGAAAGTGCATTTAGTACTGGAGGAAGGATACTTGATCCTTTCCGTATTTTCTTAAGTCCTAGAATGGTTGAGGTCTTAGTATGCACTCAAAATTGGTTGAAGGCTTCTCCGAACTTGGATGGTTTTTGCATGGAAGATGTTGAGCATTACAACCAAATGGATGAACTTTTAGAATCAATGAATTCAAAATTAACTGAAGATGACCAAGGGACCAATGCTAAGTGATTCATTTCATTTTACATGGTTTCACTTTTGAGGTAGGCATATTAATCTGTCAATAATTTCACGATTTGTATATTTCCAATAGTTTTCTTATTTTTGTAGAATTGGTTTGTACAATTTTTATGCTAACAGGATGCTTGATACTGCCGAGCTCTAGTATTGCAGAATTATTTTTGCTATATATTAACATAGTTGAGCTTGGTCACAATTTCCATTCCTACTATGTTTGTAAGTAAAAACTTTATGTCTCTAGTCTTGTTAAAATCCTTTCTTCTCACTGTTTCTGTGAGATGTCTTATAATTCGTTTAGTCAGACTCGAAATATGCATATCTACAATCACTATGCTATGCTATATGTTTTTAGAATCTCAGAAAATTGGCAGCTTTAATGGACAAACTACTTGTTTTGGTCTGAAAAGAGGTGCCTAGACTGGAACCTCTTTATCCCTCAAACTTTCTAGCCTTGGGATCAAAGATTTGACACAACCACTTAGCATTCTCAAGTAATACCCTCCTCTAGAATTCAAAGAATCTCATTACTAGTTTTAGTTTATATCACGTCATAGTGCGTGCAAGTATATATCCAAGATCAAGCTTCTAATTCAATAGATGACAATGCCTATAGAATTTATAATGGATGGCAACTCTTTAATTTAAGTGAATCAAGTTTTTATGCTTCTATTATGTAGACAGATCAAGCTTCCAACATTTTCATTTTTATGTGATATGTTTACTTGTACAGATCAGAATCAACAGCTGCCTTTATTGTTGGGATTTGTCTGGAGATTGCAAACTGAGGTCTGAGATGCAATGGATGGCAGCTCTTCTAAGATGCAATATTTACAATAGATGACAGCCCTTTTGAGATGCAAAGCTCCTAATGAATCATTTTGTTTATTTAGCTGTCTATCACAAGTTTATCGTCTAAATTAGTTTCCAAGTTTATTAACATTGGATCATGAATGTACTAGTTGTATTTGGTTGAATTTTTATTCGAATAGTTGTTCCCCGTACTAAATATTAATCTTATTTGGATGACATACAAGTTTTATTTGACTATTTTTTATTACATTTTGCCAAACCGACCAACCCGACCGAGACTTGATTGGCTTGGATTCCAACATTTAATTGGGTTGGGTTGTTTTGATTTTTAATTAAACCGACCATGTTGGGTTGGGTTGGGGTTGGGGTAAAAACCAACCCATGCCCACTCCTATTTCTAGGTGGATGAGGTACTTGTTCTTGCTCCTGCTCTTGTTAGACTGATCTTTGCATGGAGCGGACCCTATTGCTAGGGTTCTACCCTATTCTGTCGAAGACATTGACAGACCTTTGGGGTTCGTATTTTGGTGGAAAGTTCTCTCCTAGAGGTAGTTTTGCTGGTTGGCTTCCCTTCGCGTAGGACATCATATCCACATCCACTTCTCTTTCAAGTGGGTGTTCTCGGTGTTGGCTCGAATGGCCTCGGCCATGAGGCACAGGAATTTCTTGAGCTAGATATGATCCTTGAGGCATTTAGAAGCCCTAATGACCTCGGACCTGTATGAAGAATTCGCGCATTGTCACATTTTGAGTGGCAATGTCCCTCATTCAGACAGCTATTTGAGTCATTCCTTCAGTGAGCGCTGCTGTCCTGTTGCCTCGGTGACGTCGGTGATGGGATCTCCGATGTGTAACATTGGTCCTGATTACCTCTTCTTCAGAGGCATCCTTGTGCCCTTCAAATTTTACTTCTTCATTACTATAACTCATTTTGTTTATCCTTTCAAGGGTGTTAAGAACCTTGTAGGTAGACCTTGTTCTTTTTCAAGAATGTGCCCTTTTCAGGGTAAGTCGATGGTTTGCCAGTAGCTTTGTCGGTGGACAATGTGGACCTTTTGGACGGAAAGTTTCCTACAGACGGTGCTAATTTGTTGACCTTGAGAATTGGACCTTCCACGTGGCCAATGGATAGCTATTCTTGTAATCCTCCCTGCGCACAACAACGCACGGTCAGAAGCATACGGTTAGAACCAGCGGTGGCGGTGGAGGTCGCATACACTCCGACGGTCAAGTTAGCGTTGGGTGATCGAAATAGTGCTCAAGTTATGCAAGAGAGTGGGGAAGAGAATATAGCTTTCTTAGTATGGAGAGCTAAATTATAAGAGTTTCATTACCTTTTTCTCTTTCCAAACCTTAGGTATTTATAAATGTAGAGCACCGTTGGATGTGGGACATGTGTATGCATTTGACGGTGTGAGACGTCCTCTCATAAGCGTCAATCAACCGCGTCTAGAGTGGGCGGGCAATTAGTTCTTCTGAGTTGAGTTGACATAAAGTCGATACGTCACATCAAATAGACCTATGGAGACGTCACATCAATTGATCTTTGGAGATACCTTTCTAACAGTGATGGTGGAGGGTTCTATTAAGGGAGTGCCTCGAAGTGCTCAACGCTTCGAAGTTGAGGGACACTTTGGTTACTTCAGTGGATCTACTCTTCATCTTGCAGTGCGCCATGTTGAGGTCGTCAGGAGTGAGCATTGAACATCACTTCGGAACCACTTCGGGTGAACATGTGTCACTTCGGGGGAATGCGTGACTGTTGCTCCAAAGTGTTTTAGTTAGGAGTGTAACAATTATATTTTATAAATGATTTTTTTTTTATGGATTTGAGTCTTGGCTCCACCATTACAGGTATGACCAATACTTGTATTTTTTGTCTGTGTTAGACTTACATTATGTTAGATTCCGTACTGAGATTTTTTCCACAATAAAAGGACATAACTCAACTTTCAATAAACATAAAAACAAACAAATACAACCTCAAAGACACCGGGCAATGGATAACATTGTATAACTTTGAGCTTTTCAAGATACCGAAAACAAACAAATGTGACTATATAAAGTAAACATAGTATGACTTTCTATATATGTTAAATAAACTCACAAATCATATCATTTTCACTCACACTTCTATTTCACGGTTACATGCAATCTATATAAATTATTACATTACACTAATAATTACAATAAAAAAACCGTGGTTGTTGAATGAAGCAATCCTTACATCGAGAATTCTTGTTGAAAGCCCAATGTTAGCTAACCAAGAGGGGGGTGAATTGGTTATATAAACTTTTTCAAAAATTAATTCTAAATTAAAACCAATATAAAAGTAAATGAATCAATTAATTAAATAGCCACGAACATGATAACAAGCAAAGAACAATATAAGGATTTAAGTAATAAACAAATGTAAAAACTATAAGCAAAATGGAAGAGAAGCCAAACGATATGTTGTGGAGGTTTGATCCAATGCAATGATCTACGTCTTTCATTACCAAACTCTCCGACACGAGCAAGGCCTTTTTCACTATATTAATTGACTTATGGTGCAATTCAACCTTCTTCAAAACTTTCGATGACTTACAAACAAGGAGCATCGATCCTTTACAACGTTGAGCTTTTCAGGACCTTAACACAACCCACACTATTGAGCTTTACGGGACCTTAATATGACCTACACGGTGATTTACAACAAGGAGCACCAATCCTTGTACAATGCTGAGCTTTAGGGGACCTCAACACGACCCACAAACAAAAATAAGAGAATGAGATATTTCAAGTGAAAAACTTCTCTCTTAATAAATGATATTGACACAATTAAGTATCAAGAGAAAAGTAGGCTCACACACTTCAACAAATTGCAAAGAGTATAGCTCAAGTGTTGATTGAAAAACTTTGATGAATATGATAATTAAAAGTTAGATTCAATCAATCAAAGTTTTCAATAAGAAAAATATGAAGAAATAAATGCAATGCAAATTCAAATAATCTTCTTCAAGAAATATATCTCTTTCAATGAATAATTGTAACAAATTAAGTATTATGAGAGAGATAAGAAACTTTGATGAATATCAATGAAGAAGTAGAGAAGTTTATAGAATATAAGTACAAAAACTTCTTCAAAAATATATCTCTCTTATAAAATTGATATAATCAAGTTAAGAACAAAGAGATGAAAACCTTTGATGAATAGAAATTGATTCAAAAAAATTTGATTTAACCATCAAGGTTTTCAATGTGAAGAAGTAGAAGAATTTATGCAATGTAAGTGCAAATACCTTCTTCAAGTATAGATCTCTCTTTGAAGATTAGTATAAATAAGTTAAGCACAAAGAGATATGGAAAACTTTGATGAAAGGATGATTCAATAAATTTAATTCAACAATCAAAGTTTTTGTTGTGAAGAAATAAATGAAATGAAAATAAAAGTTAAGCTTCAAAGAAGATTTTTCACAATAATAACTCACAAGAAATCTGTCTTCATTGTTATTAAAATGAATACAAAGTGAAGTGAAATTTGAAGGAATAAAAAAGCTTTCCAACGGTTAAAATTCTGTCCTATCGAATGCATCTTACCGGACATCCGCTAGGTACTGGACAACCAACTAGCCGTTGTGCGTAACGATAAAAAATCTGACCGTTGGCATACCGGACCATCCGATAGGGTCAACCGGACATCCGGTTGACCGTTGACCTTTTTTTTTTTTTTTTAATTTAAGAATCATGGTCTAAGTTCAAATATGACTTTTTCAAAAATCAAACTTATTTTGTTTTGTTAAAAACATTTTATGCAAGTGGTAGTGAAAATAATTTTTTGTGCACAAAATGATTTTGTATTGTGAAAATGTTTCTGTACATAAAAATTCTTTGAGCTATAATCGATGCGAAATATAAAAGTGTTTTACCTTTACATTTGAGTTCAAAAATGCATCTATATCTAATGTCTTCAATTTCTTCTTCCAACGTGATTTTTGAATCAAATGCTCGATTTCCATCACCATATTTGTCACTCTCCAATTTACTTCCATGTTGATCTTCAAGCGCCAAAATCATTTGTCTATGTGTGTGATTCGTAATCTCGATTCTTGTGCTTTCATTCATTGTTAATTCCGCGATAATTACTATCAACACTCAAATTCAATTTGTTAGAATAAATGCAATTTATTTTTGATAATCAAAACGAGAAGTCAACCATTAGGTCAACACTAGTTGCAAGGGCTTATCTTTCCCTTATTGTTTTGCTTCTTGAAGGCATCGACAGCCGATTCTACGACTTTTTTCCCAGCCTCAGCCATTTTCTTTCCCATCATTGTTGAAACGTGTTCTTTTCCTTTGTTAGGTTTGTGACTCTAATATGGAATAGGAGTCTTGGGATTACGTTTTGACTTGGCTTAGAAAGGAATTAATTAGAACCCAAGTTTGAAAAGGAAATCAAATTGTATCCAAGATAAAATAGGAAACTAGAATCCCGTCCACGTTTTCTCCTAATTATAATATATTTCCTTACCTTTTCGGACTCTTTTAGGTTTTTGGTTGTGGCCTATAAATTAGAGGCACCTCTTTTCAGTTTTAATTGTAACAGTTATCTAAATTGGCTTGTATTCTCCATATTGTTCAATAAAAACTTCGTTTCTTCTGCATTATTTTTCTTTGTTCCTCTTTTACAAATTTAATCTTGTTTTTTGTAGCGTGATCTGATTTACTTCATAATTGTCATTATAATCTCGTTCTTCAAAATCCATTGGAATGAACTTGTGTTTTTGGAGTTTTCGCGCCCAACATGTGGTATCAGAGCGAGGTTGTTGATTTTCTTTGGATTGGTGGTTGGGTTGAAGTATGATGTTCCGCTGTTAGATCGCAATACAAGGTTCTCATTGTGGTAAGTAAAGATGAGGGCTGTTTTGGTATAATTAGATTTAGATGATGTGTTGCTAGGTATTGAGAGGATGCAGCTGATTAGACAATGGATAAAAAACAACGGAAGGATCGGAAGGCTGTTTCATTGACTCATCTTCATCTGTCCAACAATATTCTGTAGGATGTCTTGAAAGAGAAATCGACGGCTGCTTTGTGGTTGAAGTTGGAGCAATTATGTTTGATTAAAAGTCTTACTAGTAAACTGGCTCTCAAGCAGAAGTTGTATTCACATCACATGGCAGAAGGAGAGTTGTTGGAAGACCATGTTGTCATGTTCAAGAAAATAGTTGTAGATTTGAAGACGTTGGAGGTTA